TACCCCCTACCTGTACCCTGACTGCCCAAAACCTTATCCACACCCCCACCCCCAGAAAGCCCCCCCCCGTCTCTTGACTGCCCCCTCCAGAACCTCCCTACCCCTTCTCCGATCCCCTGGCCCCCTTGTTGTTGGCCTTCGCCTAATGTCTCTGTGAGCTTGTTCAGGAACGGCCTGAGCCGTTCGTCCCGGCAGGCTGGCTGGCAGGGGAGGAAGAGCGGGGGAGGAGCTCCAGACTGCTGGAAGCGATCTGTGAATGCAGGGAGGGAGGGAGTGATCTCAGCTGCAGGGGGAGGAGGGGCTCTCTCTGGCTGTCAGAGCCCCATGTAAGTGGCACCATCCGGCCGGCTGCCCTGTTAGCCGCACGTGCTCGGCAGGGGGGGGGGGGGGAAGTCCGGACATTTACAAATTCCCCCCGGACGCTATTTTTAGCTCAAAAAGCCGGACATGTCCGGGGGAATCCGGACAAATGGTAACCCTAGCAGTGTGAGAATATCATGGTCACAATTTACTCTTTTGGTTTGGACGTACTGTATACTGTATGAAGCATTTTCCAACATCCCTCTATACCAGCTCAGTCAGTGGATATACTTCTTATGATGAAGAGATGGGAGACTCCGCGTGTTGTGGGGGCTGATGAATCAAAACTCTTGTGTGGTCAAGTCTGCTCTAAAGGGGGCTGGCTGGCTGAATCTCCTCTGTCACTAGGGCTTCCTTCTGCATCATGATTGCCTTGATTATGGCCCACTAAGATTTACATCTTTGGACCTAGTCTCTGATGTGGAGTTGTTCACTGGTCCCTATCCCCCATGAAAATAAATAGCTTTTCCGTCATGGAATAGTTCAGATCATTTGATCTTTGAGGAAAAACCTGATTTAGCCTTCTCAAGATAAAATCTATGACCAGTGTCAACCCAATCATTACAGGGGTAACAGCAGGAATAGACTCCAGCTCCTACAGGCTACAAAGGTGGCATCCCTTTGTGTCTCATTTCATATTTGTGCACATGGTGTAACACACTCTTTCCGTTTTTCATTCTGGGTCAGCACTGAACATTTAGGGCCTTGTCTTCTGTGGTGACTACCAGAATCACCAAGACAAAATGGTAGTCCTTACTGTGTCTCTCCTTCCATAGAGCCGTTCTGTCATCCCTGACCTGACTGATGGATTGCTGCAGGTAGAATCAGAAGCATATATGTGCCTGGTAGAGAGTAGGATGCAGTCTTTTCTGGGAACTCTGGGTGACAAATTGAAGCAAATGATTGAGAATCTTTTTCAGCTCAGTATTTCATGTCTCTCAGGTCAGGTCTGATACTTAGGTCAGCAAGATGTTTCTTTTGCAGACTCAGTTTCTGAAACCGAAGATGCAATTCAGTTCCTTAACAGTGCTTTACTGTTATAGTCTAGTGTGTTCTTATTGGTGGTTTGGATTTCTTAAAGAAACAGCCTGATATAGTGTGCTTGGCAAGCTTTTTACATGTAGCCACTCTTAAATTTGGCTTCTCTGCTGCCTTGATCTGAGCTCTGTCTGGCCAGCCTATCCTTCTCCTTCCCTGGCAGTTGTAAAAAGAGTATTCAGTAGGAATTGTCCCTAGAGTGGCCCAATAGAGTGGTAGTAGTGGACATGAAGCACTTAAGCCAAGGTGTAGTAATGTGGCTGTTGGCTCTTGGTGGAGACTGGTCTCTCAGTCTGCTGTCAAAAACCCACTTTGCCATTTCTGCCCCAAGTTGAAGGAGTAGGCAGTGATAATCCAAACAGAAGTGCAATATGTAGATTGTATATATCAGCAATGTGGGGGAGGAGGGAACAAAGAAGTATCTTTTACTCTTCTTCTTGGCAAGAAGAAATTTCCCTTCTCTTGCTGCTATTCAAACTTCTAAGATTCTGAAATCCAAAACAACTGGCTGAGCTGGAGCCAGAACCCACCAAGAAAATAGGAATTGCGCTAATCAGCGCACCTTCTGAATTGCCTCAAAAGAGATCTTTAAGCCCCCTCTCAGGTTAAACTGATCATATCCTACTTCCTTAAGATGATTGAGAGGAATGTTCTTCAGGTTTCAGGGCCCATTAGATTTAGGATTGAATGACTTTTGCTGTCCAAGTCAACCTTAGCGTACTTTGCCCTTAACCTCGATGGGCAGAGCCTTTTTGAAGATTGCATTTTCTAAATTTAGCATTGTCCTTGGCTTCTGGAGTTAATGCTTCTTTCTAAATCACCACCTCTACCTTAGATCTGATCTTTTGATCTGGGCTCAGATTGTTCTATCCCACCAGGCACCTGGTCCTGCTTGGTCTTTCCTCGTGGGTCAGAAAGCTTCCCTCTGGAGCCATGAAAGAACACATGCAGTGTTATCTTTATATCAGGCATATTAAGGCTTCCTTCTATCTAAATCGAAAGAACTCTCTAAGTTGGGGCATTCACAAAGGATCTGACTTTCTAAGAACAGCTTCTAATGCTTCACCATCATCTCTGGTTTTAAAACTGCATTGAAGCAGCACATGGTGGCAGGTATAGATAGCTTTGTCTCCTATTCAGAATAATTTGACAAGTGCTTCTATGGAGATTGTGGATGTGGGGAATGGTTCTCTTCCAGAAATATGTAAAGCAACTCCCTGGGTGTGTGTTGCATACCCTTTTATATCACTAAAGAGACCTGATGTGGGAAGCCTCTAGAAATGCATTTATGGAAGTCTAGGCTTATAGATGTTGTAATCCATCCATCTGTTCTTCTCTGGTACCCACCACATGCCTGTTTTGGAATTGGAAGGTGCTTTTCAAGTTCACGCTCAATAGGCGGAAAATTGAGAGGTAGTATTCTCGATCAGCCTAGGCATCCCACCCTGCCATCTCTCGTGTTGGTGAAGATGGGACTAATTTCTCCCTTAAACGTTTTTATGGAGTTTTAATATGAACAGAATAGAATTTTTAATGCTCAGGAAGTCTGAAGAGGTTCATCCAGCTAACTGCCTTTATAGGAGGAATAACATAGTAATTGACTCTTACGTAGTGCTCTGTATTCAAAGCACTTTACAAACTTTGACTTCACAAGAGCTTTACTTTTTTCCTGTTTCCATCTGCTGGTAGGAGGACTTATACCCACAATATGGGCTGGCATATTGGGACATGGAGAACCCAATTAACAAGTAAGAAACTATCTCTTTTTTTCATATAAAACTCTGAGTGACAGAATGGGTTTTTATTTAAGACAAACTAGAAAATAGCTGCTGATGTAAAATATTAGCTCTGTAAATGAGCTAAGTCAAATTATGGAATAGATTCAGGTTTATAGCTTTGGTTTATGAAATCTTAGAGGGATGGGTGAATTGTTATAGCAAAACTGAAAATTGACTAATATGTGGTAATATCCAATGGGCAAAATCATTCTATCTCTACAACCAATTTAAAAGGTAATATGTATAAACCAAAGTACTTTATCAATAAAGTCTCTTATGCTCTTATTCTCTGGGTTCTATTGTTCTTCATACTCAAAGCAAACTCATTGGCAAATCTAAGTGCTGGTGTGGGTCAAATGGAGTGGGTAATTATCTGTATCTAAAGTATTGGACTGGAGAATATAGTCAAGGTGGTATTTGAGGGCTATATGATGTAGTAAAGAGGTGATTATGTTTCTAAGGCTGTCCTAAATCTTGATAAACCACTTCTGCTTTGGATTCACCTGTACAAGATGTCAACGAGCTTCTTGCGTGAACTGGAGAGCTAAGAAGAGAACCCGCTAGTTTAGACTGCATCTAACCTACAAATGTTCCCTTACACATATGAAACAAAAGTGTGTTATCTAGCAGTACCACACCGATTTACAAACTGTCGTCCATGCAGAACTAGATGGTAACAGGCTGACCCTTCTTATTGTTTCTAAGAGAAACAGAATACATGGAAAGGGGACATTAAATGAATATCTAAATTGGGGAGTGTGATTACCTTGCCTCAAAAAAGACAAAACACTTGTGGGCCTCTTTTGTACCACACTTCTCAATGGAAGCAATTGCTATAGTTGCCACTGGAATTTTATGGTACTATTCATAGGAAAGGAGTTGGTCCATGATATCGGAAAAGAGAGAGGAAGTGGTCCATGAAACACTCAGTTTGGTCCACGCTATGAAAAAGTTTGCAAACACAGACATCCAGTTTTTAAAGGGACAGTCCCCTTTTTTGGGGACTTTCTGATATAGGTGCCCATTTACACCCCCCTCCCCCGTCCCGTTTTTACCAGTTGCTATCTGGTAACCCTACATACATGGCAAATGCATCATTGGTCCCCAAAGTCCAAAAATGAGCAAATTTAGATTTTCCTTTCTGCCACTACAGAGTCACCAGCAAAAGGCCATGCAGTTTCACTTTGTTAGATTAGGAAAATTTTCACACCTTTTATAATTGGAGTCCTTTAATATGAAAGGACCCCAATATAATGCGACCCGATATAACATGAATTCGGATATAACACGGTAAAGCAGTGCTCGGGGGGGTCAGGGCTGCACACTCCGGCGGATCAAAGCAAGTTCAATATAACCCAATATCACCTATAACACGGTAAGATTTTTGGCTCCCGAGAACAGCGTTATATCAGGGTAGAGATATATATAGTTTGTCTCTGAGCATATGAATAATTTACCAGCTACAAAAATGCAGTCCTTCTCTAAGGGTAAAACAGAAATGCTCAATGATGCACAGTTTAGGACAGAAAGTGAAAATTTATTTTCCAGTTGAAGCTAATGAAGGAATTTAGGGAAAATTAGAACTTAGTCAAGACACAAGTTAAACTGACATCCACTTTTGCAAAAGATGCCATTCATTTTTAATGACAAATGATCCGTTTTTCAGTTTGCAAAACATTGCACCATATCACCCTAATCCTATGCTGAGCTATGTCTGGCATTGCTTAGTGAGATTAGCCAGTAGTAGGTCTGTTATATGCAGCCTATGTATTATTCAGAGATGGATTAAAGGTAAATGTGGCATAAACTCAGGACTTCAAAATTACATACATATTTCAGGGCAGCTGGAAAAGGATTAAGTGGGGATCCTCTTTAGAATACAGGACCTAGATTGATTGGTCTTTTTGAACCTGTCAACCATGGAAAGTTCATTCTGTGCCCCATTATGTATTCGCTGGTCTGCAGTTTATACACTTTATCTAGCAACAACATTTAAGTTAGTCTGCAGTGAATTCTCTGCCATAATCTCTAGTGCAGTTGTCATACCTGCATTTCTCCCACCACTACTGCAAACCAGAACAAAGAAAAATGCCTCTTCCAATTCTAAGTGTCTGAATGTGGCCATTTTAGTACTCCGAGTAAGAGATTATCTCTGAAAATGATGATTTTAAAAGGATAAACTGGGACAATGTGCTTGGGGGTTAAAGAGCATTATTCCCTTACATTGATGAAGGGATATGACCATGAATTTGAGAGAAGCCTGTAATATCTGATTTGCTAGCATTTACAGTACTTAATTTTTAAAAAATCAACCTTTTACCTTTTCAGGTTATGCAAGCACAGTTTGCTCAAGACAACAATCCAGATGCACAAACGCTCCAAAAACTGGCAGAAAGAACAGGCTTGAGCAGGCGTGTGATACAGGTGACTGTACTAAAGTTATTTCACTAACACAAAGTCCAAGTTATACAAAATCTGAGTTACTCAAAGTGCGTAGTACTGCAAGTAAGAAAATTGCTAATTCCTTAGTTGGAAAGAGATCTAATCTGGTAGTTTAAACATAACTGCAGATCAAATCTTTTGTGCAAAGATTGTTTAGAACACTCATATCTGTTAGATGAAAAATGTACTGTATGCATCACATACTTTGGGTGGGGGATAAAATATACAGACACCTAAATGAGTTTTATGTTTAAAAAAAAAAGTCTCTTCAATGAATACGTTATGTTGATACAAAATTTGCTAGAGACAAAAATGAAACTTATTGATTTCATTTTTGAGCAAGATTTAATTGCATTTACTCACTTTCCCCCAAAGCTGCTGCAATACATTGTACAAACACTGACTAAGATTTAGAGGACATCTACTGATCAACTTCAATATGGGTCCTGAGCTAAAACCTATCCTCATGCTATCTAAAACTTAAAGGAAGTTCAAATCCAGAATCAAACTTTGTGTCTGGGGGACCCCCTTCATTAAACAATACCACTATGATCCAACCATAGTATAAGGGCTTTCCTTTCTCTTTTCACTCATCCCTGGGTTAAAAACTTCACAGAATATTTCTATAAGAATGGCTGACTTCTATAATCCCTGGCTACCGGGTTCAAACTTCTAAAAAAATGGAGGCTAGATTACTTTAAAAAAAAATCCAACCTGGCATACCAAGAATATTTCAACATTCTTGTCAGCAATGTAATGGTGATCTAGTCACAGTTCCATGTGCTCTGTGAGACTGACACTATAGTTCAGCTGAAGCTGAATTCAAACTTGAGGATTTTATTAAATTAAATGTCAAAATTAAATACAATCAAACATGATTTATTATTTTGCTCCTTTTCAGGTGTGGTTTCAAAACTGTAGAGCACGCCATAAGAAACATGTTAGTCCTAATCATTCATCGACTGCTCCTGTCACAGCAGTTCAGCCCTCTAGGCTGTCTCCACCAATGTTAGAAGAAATGGCATACTCAGCATATGTACCCCAAGATGGGACAATGTTAACTGCTCTACATAGTTACATGGATGGTAGGTACAGTAACTTACTGTAACTCTCTTCAGATCTAAGTACAAAATTATCAATGCTTTCTTTAGGTGAAGCAAGAGGATTTATCAGGTAATGTAAATAATAGTATAGTAAAGAAATCTGACTATCACTTCTCATTTCCAGTATTCTCTCTAATCTCTCAACACCTATTACTAGGGCCCTACCAAATTCACAGTCCATTTTGGTCAATTTCACGGTCATAGGATTTTAAAAATTGTAAATTCCATTATATCAGCTATTTAAATCTAAATTTTCACAGTGTTGTAATTGTAGGGGTCCTGACCCAAAAAGAAGTTGGGGGTGGCTGGGTCGGTGTCACAAGGTTTTTGTGTCTCTGGTGTGTGTGTGGGATGGGTTTGCGGTACTGCTACACTTACTGCTGGCTGGGAGCTCAGCTCTGAAGACAGTGCTGCCGCCAGCAGCAGTGCAGCGGTAAGGATGGTATGGTATGGTATTGCCACCCTTCTGCACTGCTGCCTTCTAAGCTGAGCTCTTAGCAGCTGCCACACCCTGGCCACACAGCTCTGAAAGGAACAGCGCAGAAGTAAGGGTGGCATGGTATCATATTGCCACCCTAACTTCTGCGCGGCTGCTGGCGGGGCACTGCCTTCAGAGCTGGGCACCCAGTCAACAGCCAGCACTCTCCAGCTGCCCAGCTCTGAAGGCAGCGAAGAAATAAGGGTGGCAACACTGCAACACCTCTAAAATAACCTTATGACCCCTCTGCAACTCTTTTGTGTAAGGCCCCCCAATTTGAGAAACACTGGTCTCCCCTGTGAAATCTGTATAGTATAGGGTAAAAGTAAATAAAAGACCAGATTTCCCAGGGGGAGACCAGATTTCACGGTTCATGATGTGTTTTTCATGGTGGTGAATTTGGTAGGATCCTATCTATTACTGTAGCTGCTCCCTTTGTTGTACTAGCATAGCTGAGGATTTGGATATAAAGATCACTGTGTACTTTCTACATCAGTGGTTTTCAAAGTGCGTGTTGCGACCCAGTACTGGGTCATGGAATGGAAGGCACTGGGTCGCGGCGGCTCTGGTCAGCACCGCCGACCAGGCCGTTAAAAGTCCCGGTGGCGGTGCTGCCCAGCTAAGGCAGGCTAGTCCCTACCTGTTCTGACACCGCGAGTGGCCAGCAGCAGATCCGGCTCCTAGGCGGGGGGGCCCCCAGGTCTCCGTGCACTGCCCCCATCTGAGCACCAGCCAATGGGAGCTGGGGGGGGGGCAGTGCCTGCGGGCGAGAGCTGCGCAGAGCTGCTTGCACGCCTCCGCCTAGGAGCCAGACCTGCTGCTGGCCGCTTCCGGGGTGCAGTGCGGTCCGTTGTGCGAGGACGGGTGGGAAGCCTGCCTTGGCAACCTTGCTGTGCTGCTGACCGGGAGCCACCTGAGGTAACTCCATGCCCTACCTCCATGCCCCAATCCCCTGCCCCAGCCCTGAGCGCCCCCGCCCCCAACCTGGAGCCCCTTCCTGCTCTCCAAACCCCTCATCCCTGGTCCCACTCCAGAGCCTGCATCCCCAGCCCAGAGCCCCCTCCTGTACCCCAAACCCCTCATGTCTGGCCCCACCCCAGAGTCTGCATCCCCAGACCACAGCCCTGACCCCCTCCTGGAGCCTAACCCCCTGTCCCAGCCCAGAGCTCCCTCCCACACCCCAAACCCCTCATCCCCAGCTCCGTTGGGTCATGGGCATCAACAATTTTCTTCAACTGGGTCACCAGAAAAAAAGTTTGGAAAACCACCGTTCTACATAATAATAATGCTGGTGATGAGAAATTATATTAAACACACTTGATTTGTTGCTGTTAATTTAAAAATGTAATTATTGCTCATTTTTAGTTAATCTTAAATGAAAAAGTGTTTACTCTAAACATTTTATTTTCCAATTCAGGATTTTTAGACACTTTTTTAGTTTGGAATTTGTATTTGAAGACTTGAAAGGAGAACTAGAGATTAGTGGAACATTTAGCAACTTCATTGCAGATTAAGGCTCTTTCCACACTGGCATACAGAGAAACCTGGCTACTACAGTGATCTCCAAACCAGGTCATAGGTGCTGACTTCCCCTCTGCCCAGTGAGTGCTCAACCCCCACCCCTGCATGGCCCTTGCCCCATCCCCATTCCACCCCTTCCCCAAAGTCCCCGCCCCAGCCCCGTCTCCATTTCCCCCAAGTCCCTGCCCTGCCTCTTCTCCGCCTCCTCCCCAGAGCGCAACGTGTCCCCGCTCCTCCCCCTCCCTCTCAAAAAGTTCTAAGCGCTGCCAAACAGTGGTTAGGCGATGGGGGGCAGGAAGCGCTGGGAGGGAGGGAGAGGAGTGGGGATGCGGCATGCTCGGGGGAGCTTCGCTGCCAGTGGGAGCGGAGCACCCGCTAATTTTCCCCCCTGGGTCCTCCAGCCCTGGAGCACCCATGGAGTCAGCACCTATGAACCAGGTTACCAAAATCTAGTTCCAGTTTGTAATGTAGGCTGGACTTCAGTTGTTTCAACACCACACAAATTTGAACCATGTTTGTAATTAGGTTAGGGAACAATTGTATTGTAACCAGGTTTCCTGAGATGGTTGCATCTGCCATGTAGACAGGATCTGTCTGCTTTCTTCCCAAGCTGCAGGATAATATGCATGGATGGAAATGGCACTAATAGCTTGTGACCCAGAATGAAGAAGTTGGAAACAATTGTAATGCCATTAAAACTGGCTAGATCCTGTAATTGTGCTAGAGCAGTGGTTCTTAACCAGGGGTGTGTGTACACCTGGGGGTACTCAGGTCTTCCAGGGGGTACTCAACTCATCTAGGAGTGTGTGGTTTTTTGTTGTTGTTTTTTTTGGTGGTTGTTTTTTTCCCCCCCAACTTGAGGGTTGCAGCCCACAGGGGGTCATGGGATGGGTTTTGGTGGGTTGCAAGTGCAGGGTTGGCATTAGGGGATGACAAGCAGGGCAATTGCCTGGGCCCCAGAAAGCTAAGTTACATGTTTCAGCCCCAGGCGGCAGAGCTTTTTCTTCAGACAAGGCTCATAAGTGAAAAATCAGTTTAAGTATCACACTGAAATATAGTAGTTATATTGCAGTCTATTTATAATTTTATGGTAAAAATGAAAGTAAGCAAATTTTCAGTAATAGTGTGCTGTGGCACTTCTGTATTTTTGTCTGATTTTGTAAGCAAGTAGTTTTTAAGGAAGGTGAAACTTGGGGCATGCAAGACAAATCAGACTCTTGAAAGGGGTACAGTAGTCTGGAAAGGTTGAGAACCACTGTGCTAGAGAAGAGCCCTTGCTGAGGTTAGTGAAATTAGTGCAGCTCCTTTGTGGCACAGTCATCATAGTATAGTGTCTTTTTTTTTTTTTTTTTTTTTTTTTTTTACTAGCTTGCAATGTTTTCTACTTTCAATGCAGTTGACCAATAAATCTTTCTATTTTTTTAGCTCATTCACCTACAGCACTTGGACTCCAGCCCTTGCTACCCCATTCAATGACACAACTGCCAATAAGTCACACCTAATTCCTTTCTTTCAGGGATAAAAGCTAGTAAGGATGTACTCTTAAGAGTCATTTATTGTGTATTAAAATATCGTTGAAAAGATATTAATGTAAATTTTTTATTTAACATCCAAAACATTTTCAAAACCATTTTGCTGCCCAAGTACGTAAGTATAGTTGGCCTGCAAGACACTTTTATGGATTCTGCATAAATAACTATATGTTGTTTACAAGGCTTATTAAACACCTTTTTTGTATTGTCTGGAAGTAGTCCACTCTAGTTATGTATTTGTTAATTTATTCATCATCAAGAGCACTTTGCCTAAAAGAAAGGACTGATAATTGTGCAAAATGTTTACAATTCTTTGTGAAATTGTAGTTTATCATTAGTTTGTATCTGTAAGTTATTGTTATAAAAAGTATTACCTGTATTTGAGTTATATACAGCCTATACTTTAAAGCTTATGTCTGTGAGTTGGCAAAATAAATTTCATTTGCAAATATTTTCAAAATGAGCTGAATAAACCCTCTGCAGCCTGCTAAACAAACACGTAATTGTTTATGGTTGAACTATGAGTAATTATAAAGGATAGCATAGTTTTAATCTTCAATTTTAAGGCCAGGCCTCTTGTACAAGTAGGCACATTAGACCTAAATGATGGAGTTAACTTCAGCCTTCCCCAGGATTCTGCAGCAATGTCAATTAACTTAAAAAATCTTTTGATAAGGTTACATTCTTTGAAATATTTCAAACATATTCCACAAAATGAAACTATAACTAATGCATATCTGCACCGCAGAGCACAATACTGCCCAGGATCTTCTGTGGAGAGGGGAAAAATACTAGGTAAACATTTTTGGGTGGGGAATGAAGAACGGTTCAAAACAAACTTCTCAGACCATGTGTGACGTAAATGAGAAACAGCACAGACCCTACAATCTGCTTTAGGAGGAGGATATTGCTGAAGCAGCGCCTAGTGTTGACTTCAGTGGTCACCATCAGGGCTGGCGCCAGCCCAGCAAGCAGGTGCTTGGGGCGGCCAACGGAGAGGGGCGGCACGTCCGGCTCTTCGGCGGCAATTCAGCGGCGGGTCCCTCACTCCCTCTCGGAGCAAAGGACCAGCCACCAAATTGCCGCCGAAGACTGAAGCAGCGGCGGTAGAGCTGATCACGATCGCAGCGTGTTTTTTGTGTGTGGGGTGTTTTTTTTTTTTTTTTTTTTTTTTTTTTTGGTTGCTGGGGCGGCAAAAACCCTGGAGCCAGCCCTGGTCACCATCTCATTGAAGTGAAATGGGGTTAGCTTCAGAAGCTCACACCCAAGTCAAAAGGCTCTGGGGAGGGGGAATTCGCATTTGCTGCTGCTATTGTTTGAGCAACTGTCTATATGCAAGGCTAGAAAAATGATTTGTGTGGATGCTGGCAGTTCCAGCAAGACTTCAAGCTTTGCAGAGCCGCCATTGCCTCCTGCAGGCCTCTCCTTGAGCATGCCAATTATGCACCCTGTTCTGCCACTAGTCTTGGAATTTCTCCAGCTGGCTACCATCTTTTTGTCTGGTAGAATTGCTGAGGAGAACTCTCCTCATCATTCAAGCCCTCACTATGGCCTGGACTGGGAAGTACTTGATTCCCTGAAAGAAGGTCTGGCCTTTGCAGTCACTGGTGTTCAGTCGCCCTTACTGCTGTATTCTCCTCATTCTGGAAAGATCTCCCCCTTGCTGCTTCCTGCTATTGGAAGGGCAGTAATGTGGGAGCTGTGGGCACACAAAATTCACAAAACTTTTCTCTGTGGGAAGAAACAGCAACCTTGAAAAACTCTTCATAGAGACACTTGTCCTTCCTTCTTTGCCTAGTTTCTCCCTATCCTCTTTCCTGCACCCACCTTAAACCACTACTCACCTACCCTAAAACAGTGCATTATAGAAAATGTCATGAAGTTGATGCTGTGTAATACAGACAAATCATGACCCATAAATTTATAGTATTCAACATACCAGTTTTTAATGTTAAAAGGGAGTTATGCTTTTTTAAGGTGCAGACTTTTAACTCTTTTGCACAAATACTTCAACTGTTTGTGTTAATATTCTACTTCAGTATCTAAGAAACTGAGGACTTGATCCTGCACCATTGAATTGTGCAGGAGTAGGCTCTGAGCACCCAGTGTTTTATAGTCACCATACAGACAAGTGGAGGGGAGAGGAAAAGAGTAATTCCCTACTCTGAAGATCTTGCAACCTTAATCCAAATTAGAGAGAGAGGGAGAGAGGCTTGCAAGTTTGTTCTAAGTAATCAATCCCTTGTCAACTTTTTAACTTAACTCCCTGCGTAGCTGCCAGTATTGTGATTTGTTAGCTAATCTCAACGTATTGTCCCTTGGAATTTTTTTGTCACTCTTGACTTTATTAATCTTAAATATTTAACCCTTTTGTATTTTCTTAAACTCTTGGCTATTCTAGAAATCCCCAAAGAAGCTGAAAAATAACTTAAGACTTTTCATAAACAATATTTTGGTAATGTAATCTTTAAAAATCTCAAATCTGTAGAATAAATCAAATCACTAGTGCAATTTAAAAAAAATCTTCAGTTTCTTTAAGAAAACTTTTGCCCTAGTTATCTCTAAATGGTTCTGTTTAAACAGGAAAGACAAACCAAAATGGGGTTATTCCAATTATCCACTTGGTTTAGCTATGCACATAGAGCCTTCCCCCAAAACAGTGACATCTAGTGACAGAAAACTATAAAACCAGATTTGCTACTTGTGAGGTTAATATATCATACTATTGGGTTTTTTTCCCCTCAGCGTGTGTGTATAAACTTGTTAATAAACTGATTCACGCTAGACTTCAGGTTTATATTTTTGCTGCTTTAGACTCATTTCTCTTTCCCTCCCCCCCCCCCTTGGTTTAAAAAAAAAAAAAGTCTCACCTTTCAGTAGATAAAGCGGACACTTAACAGGGTCCAATGATTTGTTCTCGCCAACTCTCTACAGTGAGTGTCCCCAACATTAGGCCACACTGTACTCTCTCAGTGGGCATTTCTGCTTGCAGATGAGTGGCCTTGGGTTGCAGTAATAAGGTGGAGGTAGTTCAGGACTGAGGCTCTGAATAAAATGATATACCTGTATCAAACATCTACTTTCTTGAGAATAAGACTTCTCTCTCAAACTGTGGCAGAATGATAACTTTAATTGCCTCTTCAGCCCCCTGCCTTTCTTTAAGTGTTGCCCTAGTAGGCATTGTTTTAACTAAAGCTACCTTTTACAGTGAAATTGAGCCAGGAGTGAGAGTGACAAATTCTGCACCAGGCTCCAACTAAGCATGTATGCAGGGTATAGTACATGTGTGAGCTTATGTCTGTTCCCAGGTAGTTCTAGATAAGAGGAATATAGCAGGTATCTGTGTGCTTCAATCAACACTTTTTGGAAATTTGTGCCTTTGCAGGGTAAAGAGCTCTTCTACTTCTGGTGGCTGAAGAACTAAAACTGTGCGTCAGACAAAGTATATCTAACACAGACAATATTACATTACTCAGATTACTTGGAATTTTATATCCCCAAACTGTGGAGTATGTTTGTGATAAGAGTGCACGTTCCTTGAAAACAATGTACAGATTTTTCCAGTAAATGTGGTTCTAATCATGGCAGTGCAAACATATCATAGCTTCACAAAGTGCCTGCAGGATTGATCCCTACTTTATCACATGCTTTATCTATTCTGGTGTTAAATGAGTAATGCACTGTGCCCTTGCTGCTCAGTAATTTCTCTTGGGAGACTATTCTACAGACCTTTTGATTTTTCTCAGATTGAAGTCTATTGTCATATTCAACCTACTTTCTCTCTTATCCTATTATTCATTCGTCTTCTCCAGGGGTTCTCAAACTGGTGGTCATGACCCCCCAGGGTTGCCAGGGTATTATGTGGGGAGTTGAGAGTGGTCAGCCTCGATCACCAAAGCCTGCTTCACCTCCAGCATTTATAATAGTGTTAAATATAAACAATGTTTTGAATTTATAAGGGGTGGGGGGTCTCACTCATAGGCTTGCTGTGTGAAAGAGGTCACCCATACAAAAGTTTGAGAACGACTGGTCTACCCCTTTTGGCTTATCAACAGTTAGTCACCCTCCTTGGGGAAGGTCATTACTGTATTCCACACTTGGTCCTGATTTAGGTAAACTATATGTTCCAGTCTCAGACCAGGGATGGTTTTAAAACTGGAGTTTTATTAAACTTAAAATAAAAACCCCACCAAGCACCTTGTACAAACCCCAGTGCTGCTGAATCTCTGACCACCCACCCACCAAACTACAACTACATCCTGCTTCCCCAACTGTCCTCTTTGGCCTCCAATCCTTAAAGGGACCGACTGCTGGCATTCTTTATGAGAGCTACACTACCCCCTCATAAATGTAAAGTTGGCCTGACATAGCCATTAACCCATAACACATTCAGTCCATCTGACTTTGAGCATTGTGAAACTTATGGACTACTGCTACTAACAGTTGTTCTCAGGCAAATCTCTGTCTCATCTTTCAGAGCCGCTGGCACTGATGGTGGAAACATCTGCATCTCTTAAGATTATTTCACATTAAGCAAGAATTTTTTGTGGCAATAGTGGCTCCATTATCCAACCAGAGAGGCAGTTCTGAACAGTTTAAATTCCCAAAGATTTTATATCTTATAAGAATTGTTATATGATAAATGGTACAACAATAAAACTCCAAGGCACGGAGCATATGGTGAGCTATTTTGAAAAAAAAAAAATCTAAACAAATACAAATTATATAGAATCATAAAACATTTGAGGGCAATATCCTCACCATTAGTCGATATCACTTCATTTACCACTATTACATCCATCTTGGATAGAATACAGGATAAGGTACAGAAATAGGTAATTGGTGTGGAATCTGGCAAACATGAGGCTAACCTCATGGCACATTCACCAGACTGATGATTGGAGTTAGACACTGATCAGTTAGCATCCCTTGATATTTACGTCAGTGTCTTGGGGTGCTTTTCTCCCTAGATGGACAAACGTGAGCGTTAGTGGATTGTTCTAGTGATCTATCCACTTGTGCACTTCTGGTTTCAGGTTCCATGGTCTCATTT